CTCGTTCTCGGCCATAGCGACGAGGCAGACAGACAACCACAGGGGTTCAATCTGCCTACCAGGCATTCCAGCAGCCAAAGGCGACAGGGTCTTCGGTGGGATGACTTGGACAGGCACTTTGAAAACCATACACTCTGCATCTGCAGGTCTCTCGGAATGCGGGTCTTGGGGACCAGGTGAGAGGCTAATGCTGACTTCAATCTCAAAAAAGCACTAGAAAAAGAAAAAAATGGCAGGTGCTAGAGGTTATGATGAAGCAGGTAATTGAGGACACGTGTGGGACACTGTTTTCGTATAATAGCGCGCAGATGCACGAAGGCGATGAGGTGGAGAAATAAGAGCGATGACAAGAAGGCGCTCAAGAAAGTATAAATATCAGCTACCGAACGAGCAATGATGAGTGCCCTTGGCAGTCTCACCTAGAAAAAGGCAGGTAGGAGGTTAACACAAAAAACTAATTTTTACTGCTATAGAAGGAAAGAAATCAAGTCTTAGCTGACGAGAAGTGGGTTACCTACCCGGAAAAAAGGACAGCTCACACTTGTAGTGAAGTCTGACTGAGAAATCGGCGGCAAAGCCAGCTGAATTACGTCAATCTGGAATTCAGACTTGCTGTTTGTGACGGCGGGAAGAATAGTACCGAAAAGGACTTCACTCAGGCGTATTTTTTCGTTTTGGACCGCGGAACCAACTGACTTTGAAATATCCAGAAGTTGGGGCATGAGTTCGATGTGACGAACAAGCTGTAGGAAGAACATCAGCAGGCAGCAATGAAACAATGTTTCGTTACACATTAAATGGCCGCAAAATAACCGAAACATGTACCCTTTTGAGGACCGGCGAATTTAGACTGATTACACAGAAGTATGAGATTGGTTCCAGACAACCCGTTTAACTTAGTAGCTCGGTGAACCCCCTACTCTCATCATGTCCCCAATCACAATCGACAAAAACAACGGGCCCGTGGTGTAATGGTAGAGTGCTGCACCCAATGCCCAAAGGCCGCGGGTTCGAATCTCGGGGACCGCAACTCCTTAGATTGCGTGTGTGACTGGCTGACGGCGGCTAATAAGCCAGAAATGACCACTTTGCCGATTCCAATTCATTCCAAACATGACGGTTTTGACACCGAATGAGCGTCTACAGCGCAAGCAGGCTTCAAAAAGTTGACTAGCGTTCAATTCTATCCTCGGAATCCGAGTAGTTTTCGTTAGTAATAATGTAATGCGTGCGAAGGTCTCCGCCATAAGTCATGCACGCCCTGAATTTGTGTTGAAAATGGGAACCCGTGGAAGGTAGTCTGATGCCGTTACTCTAAATTTCCGTTTTCCATTTATGGCGCATTTCCTGAACCTTCTGTACTCGACTGACTTTGAAGAATGGCCTGCCACTCATGTGGTGGGTTTCCCAAGACTCCTGGTTACTCCACACACATTGGGGTGAAGGCTTTCAGTGTGGCCTTCAGGCGTTTTTAGACCTACTGGAGCAGTGCGCCTTTATTCAAAATGATACTAGAAACCTGACACGCAAGCACTGAATATGATGGATACATGCACAAATTAAAAGTAGTTTTCAACAGAAGTTAATGTCTAAGTGCAGTAGCACTGAAACCTCAAATAAATGACATTTAAGAACGCTAAAACATTACGAGAGCCAGGAGCCAGAGTATTCACTCTCTGAAGATGGAAAGACGAGATAACTATCCGAAACGTCAGACCACAAATAAACCTCTCCCGGTGAACGCCCTTTCTTTTTTTGACTTACCACCTGGGAATCGAAATATCGCTACTACTAGGAAAACAATTTAGATGATAAAAAAATCGATAATTGTTTCATTTTGTGACTATTTCCCCAAATGTATGTATTTTACTAGGGCAGACGAAAAAGGTGGAAAGTAGACCTAGTACCAAACCTTACTCTCGATTAGGATCCGCTGGGGATGCAGATGATACCGAATAGGTTTTAAAAAGTGTACAAAACAGTGAATCGTTTTTGTGAGACAGAAACATGCTTTGTGTTGAGATCGGCCACCCGAGAAGACAAATCCTACGTCATCCGATTAAATATTTGGAGACCCAAATTTTTCTCGGGGAAGTCTCGGATAATTAGGCAAGACAACTCGGGAAGACAACTCCTAGCGTTTTTTGAAGGTAATTAAAAGGGGATATTGCTTCCGCGATGCGGAAGATACATAATATTTTGATCTTAACGATGCTGTTACAAGACGACTGCAAATGTATGGATGAAAATGGGACAATATGCACCACTTGGGGGTTAGGAGTGCCGATATTTAAACGAGTGGGGTACGGCTTTGGCCAGAAAATGGGCTGTACTTTTTTATAATAAAAAGGACGGGACGACACGAATTACACTTTTACTCCAAGTCTGTGTATTAATTTTAGATGCAATTATAATGCTGACTCAAAACCGAAGTACTACAAGTTCTCAGCTACGGCGCTATACGACAGAATAAAAAGAGATTAAACTAGTATCTGGACTTGGTCAGTACTCTTGTAAAAGCATAGAGACATTTAATGTGTAAGATTTATATTACCAATAGAGGTTCGAAAGTAAAAACGATGTTTCCAATCAAAGTTGACCACACTTAAATCAACTGTCGAAAGAAAGATCACAGGCAAAAACTAACAATTTTCCGATTACTAGTCTACCAGAAGGAATGCGCTCGTTACCTTCGGGGGCACCCTAAAGTAGGAAAGTTACGCAGGGATGCTAGTGGTTCGAGAAGAATCAAATTTTGCAATAGCAAGAAGAAATGTCTGGTATCAAATAGACCTCGCTTAAAATAACACCAAATAAAACAGGTCTTCGTGTGAAACTAGTAAATAGTCGAAAAATTAATAATGAGCATGCGTCGAACAAGAAGATAACTAGGGTGAACACAGTACCAAAAATAAATAGCGAAGTTGGCTTTCCAAAGACCGCAACAACTGCACCTACACCAACTATAATGTGTTTTTCGGTTGGGTTTTATTGTGAGGACTAGGAACCTGCGCAACAGTGAATTTCGAAAGGTATCACGAAGAATAAAATATTAAACACATTAGGAAACAAGCAAAAGTTAAAGTTGGAAAAATTGTAACTGAGCATGCCGTCTCTCTGAAAACACTACAGACTGCTCGAAACTTTACAAATACCTACAAGCAAAAGAAAACGTGCGATATTACATGTCTGTATTACTAGCTGCTGCAGCTGCTGTCAGCACAGAACGCTGCCCTCCGCAAGATCACGGGTTGCTATAAAATGTCGCCTATAGATCATTTTCATGCAGAGGCTTCTTTCCTGCCGGTCGCCCATAACAACACACGCCTAACCCAACAGTTCTGGTGGGCTTGTTAACAACCCGGCCATCCTAATCATCACCGTTGCAACGCTCCTGAGTCTAGCCGCAACGTCCGGCCGTCTATTCGAGCTCTCAACAAGGAAGCTGTTGCCTCGTCTCTCTCGCATCTACGCATTGATAGCTCTGCTACCAAGATTGGCTTCCAGCGTCTCCACCAGAGAGTCGTTGTCGAAGAGAAACGAGGTAACCGTCCCCCGGTGGCTATCCGCCTCCAATTGCGGCCAAAGAACAACATCTACCGCGGGTCACTCGCT